ATTTTGTGACAGCTTGACTTTCTCCTTCAGTTTTCCAGTTGCACTGGAGAGAAGACGCAGTGGCGTGTGCCGTTTCGGCACATTTTGCACCACACTTCCCTCTGAAATAAGCTCCTTCTCGTTCTGTTGACAAAGCAAATTGGAAAATTGGAAAAAAAATCTCATCGCATCTCTCAGCTTTGCTTTGGTCTGCAGAACGGATCTTCGTAAATAACATCTTGTGGACGTCGGCTCAAGGTGGAGTACTTTATAATGTCGCAGAGGGCTGTTTAGATAACATTTTGACTGATCAGCATCAGACGCAGACTAAACACAAATGTCTTTGACTTGTGACCTACCTGAGGATGTGGCTACTCATATTCTGCTCACATGACAGATCAAACTCAATGTGATAAGCAGCTGCCTTCCTTTTATTTGTATTTTTTTTAGTTATGAGGCATCTGATCCTCTTGACTTCGCATAGAATCTTTTATATGTCCTGTATATTTATATTTATACACTCAAGGTCTGTGTGCATAATGGAAAGATGAAATATTCTAGACGGTGTTGTAAAGTGCTCTGAATTGTACTCTTTGGTTTGTTACCTGTAGACCATAAATCATTATCTGAATGTGTCTCACATCCAAGTGTTTAGGACCTTCATCATTTTTTATTTTTTGTTTTAAAAAGCAAGAAAACAGAGCAGCGCTGTCCTTGAAGCACTGAAGGCCGTTCAGTCTCAAACTCACCGTGCATTTTTTCTTTTCAGTTGTGTGTTTGTACTTCTGAAAGAAACTTTGACTCTGTTTACTGTCAGCAAAGTTGTTTCATATGAGTTCTCCCCCCATGTTGTTTTCCGTTTGCCATATAAGAGTGTCGATGTAGCAAGTTCTGGGTAGATTAAGTATTGTCTGGCAGCTGTCGGTGTTTTGTGGACCCGATAGCCTTGGTAGGCAAATCAGCAGCTAGCAGTGAATTAAAGAGCGCTTTCTGCCTCATCAACATGTTTGATATCTCCATAAACTACTCTGGAAACACAGCAGCTCTTCAACGCAGATGTCCCACGGACACCAGGCTCCCTCGAGATTTCGCCTGTATCAGCAAACCTAATTGAAAGGCTGTGGGAAATTGAAAATCTTCTGTCGGTATTTTAAGTAGCAATGAGCGACTTGAAGGACTAATTGTAGTCGGTTTATTTGAGTTCAGTTCCTTGACTGAAGGATTGTTGTGTTGTTTAAAGGCATTTTTAGATCTCGTGGTTGTGAGTAAGATTTCATTCTGTTTAATAAGGCATTTGCAAGTGTCAAGCTGCTGAAACGTCAGCCCTCCATGCTAATCTAATTAGTGCGATAAACAAAACATCATAAAACACGATGCCTCGCTTTCTCCATAATCTAAAGCGAAAGTGTCTTTATTATACTATAAGTGCTGTAATAATACAACAAAGAATCAAACCCATCTTGTTTCTCAATTACCATTATGTAGTGCACTCTAAAACATATGCAGTGTTGCAAATGCGTGTCCATTTTGTTTACTTGCTAACTTTCCATTAAATGTATCCCACAGCTATTTCTTATTCTTTTGCACTTGCTAAACGACACGCCGTGATACACAGATTAAACTGAAAGTAATTAAGTTGTTCCGAAAAAGATCCCACACTATTTAGCGGCAGACTTGAAAATAACGACTCTGATATTGATGAAACAATCAGCTACGAAAAATTGTCACTTCCATTTTCTCTTTACTACCAATTGAGGAGCATCTCACCTTATCAGCTCTCCACAGACGGGCACTCACAGGGAGAGAAGGTTAATCTTTTAGCCACTTATCAATTTGTCCAGGTGATACAGTGGGGCAAACCTCTTTGCTCCTCACACAGCAGAGGAGAGCAACAGCACAATTGATGACTGTAATGATTGGAGTTTGCATTCTGGAGCAGGACTCTGTCTGACTTTCAGAGGAGCGTGTCGCAGAATAAAAGAAGGCCACACTTGCTTTGTTCCTACTGCTGTTTGTTTAGTACTTGCAATTTTTTGTTTTTAGTGTATCCTGAACGGCATATCAAAATGGCGCATTATAATATTTTGATGGAGGTTAACAGCAAAACAAATGAAGTGGCCCATGGAATAAAAGAGAGATTCAATTATGAAAGATGTGGATTGGGGATTTAGCAGTAGAGATTGTTGCCGTAAACATGCCGTGACTTTAATGGATCATTATCCAACATAGAGACAACGTCTGATGAAATGATGAGTAATGAATAAATTTGCTCTTTGAATGGTTTCATACTTGTGAGGTCTGTTTATGTACTTTTAATATAAAGATTTAATTTAAGCCTTGATTTTTTTCCACAGTGTTTGCAAAAGGAACAGGCTTTCTTGCCATCTATTTTTTGTCTAATTTTATTTGTTTAGTTTTTCTGCTTGCAAAATCATTATGTGGCCCATTGTTTCAAACTTATTCTGGCAATCAGTGTTGTTGTTGTTTTTTTCCCATGTCCTATTACACTTCAAATACACAATGAGTAATTGGACGTGGCAATCATTTTACACTGTGCCTGCAGCAGAGTTGTATATTTGGCTGGGTACTTTTCAATAATGTCCTAAAAGCATCATCCAAAAGTATTAAGTGGCATTCAGCCTTGTATTTAAAGTTCAGGATTATTGAAATTAATTAAATAAAAAATTGTAGGAGGTTTGGAAATTGTATTAAAGAAATAAGCCCTGGAATTGATGATGATTAAAATAAAACCAACTTTTTTTTTATTAAAAAATGTATATTAGCATAATGTGCATGAACCCATTTTGGTGTAATGAAACAAGAAAATCATAAAACATGCATGACTATGTGTCATGTTTTATTTATTTATTTATTATTATTATTTTTTTTTTTTTATTAATTAACTGAGTTATTTATTTATTGGTTATTTCAGGTGAAATTGAGTAGCCCAAAAAACTTTAATGATTCATTATAATAATAATGATTCAAGATCATTAAAAAAAATACAGTATTTGTTTTTACCTTGAATCATTTTTTGAAAATAATGATAAAGTGTATTCAAGAAAAAGGTTTGTTACTTGATGGTGATACTACTCTACATATTTAGTCATTCATTTTCTTTCTTACTTTCTTTCAAAACAAAAGCCAACATGAATGAAAAGATAACATTTCTTCTTTTCATTGATCTTGACCATCTTTATTTGCCATTGACCCATAACAGAAAAATTGCACCGAGCTTGTTCTGTATTTCCTCCCTCTTCCTGTATGCAACGCTGACACGACGCTCAATATAGTGTGTGTGCGTGGCAGACTATTTCCTTTCATGTATCACTTGCTCAAAAACCAAGAGTTTATTCGTCCTTTTACCCTCCTGGATACGAAGGCGTTACAGTATTGGAATTGGAACGTGGAAGGGGGATGAGATGGATGTATGAAAGAGAGTGCAAGAGTGAGACACTTATAAACCCTTTGATGCTAAATGTAAAAGAGTGTTTCTGTGATCAAACAAGTAATACAGCAGCAAGAGGCTTTCACAAAGTGAAAAGTAACAGGGCGGTTAGATATTTCATAGCACTGTGTGTGTGTATGTATGTGTAAGTCTGTGGAAACAGATTTAGCAAAGTGCTCTTTATGTGTTTTGACTCATTTTCAACTCATTAATATTTTATAAGAGGGCAGAGATATGTTTTCTGTAGCTTTTCATGCAGGAAGAAAGGCCGGGTTACAGTAATATACAATCCTCCTTCCTCCATAAAGACAGTCTCAAGGGACTTGAAGAATCATTGAACAGAAACACTTAATTAAAACTATACCACACATTGACAAGCTTATGCATATCTATCCATTAAATACATAAATAAATAAACACACAATAACATAGTCATAACCTACAAGAGGCCATTTGCTATAGTTAAAGGAGGCATGGCATGAAGTGGAACATAAAGAAAACAATTATTTGTAATAATAATTATTATGGATGTCAATTTAACGTCAATTTTGTATAATTAAAAAGTCAATATCAATAAAACATTAGGGTTAATCACAGAGAAGAATTTACACAGCATTCCGGTCTTTGGGAAAGTCTTCCAAATGAACTTGAGAGAACTGGCCCAGATTTCTCTCAGGGAGATTTTTCTGTGATAAATGCACTCTGTGGTGATAAACATCTCCCTTGATGCAATTTATCATCTGTCATCATTTTCCATGCTGCAAGAGATAAGAACAACACCAGATTCGGTTTAACATAACCATAAAATATATCCATGCAACCCACAGGGCTCAGGAGGGGGGTAGAGAGAGTGCGTTAGAGAGGATGAAACGGTTGCAGAGAAGAAAAAAAATGGTTAATGCTGATTTAGCCGGTCTGAGCAACTGACAAGGGCCCAAAACCCAAACCAGCTTAGGTTGGTTTCCAGCAGACACTTTCAAAACATATAGTTAATTCATGACATTGACGATGGATGAAACATTTCCTCAATGCTTCCTGCTCCACCGATGCTCATTGAGGCTGTGCTAATTAATTTATAGTGGGAATCTTTGCAGCTACATTTGCACACAGCCTCTTGGATCCACGAGGGCAAACACTGCACACCTTCCTGTTCCATTAATCATTCTTATCTCTTTCTCTATTTTAGCTAATGCTATTGATTTAGTCCACTTTCACTGCATTATGTAAATCAATGAGCCAGATTCTTCACCTCCAAAGATGGAGAGTGCTAATGGCTGATGAATACTTTTCATCAAGCGGACAAGTTTATCAGGGGTCACTAATGCTAATAGATTATTCAGGATCCTGCTAGAACAAAAGCAAAGCAAGAGGTGACAGATTTCAAGGGCAACTGCGTCATTAAAAAATAATCAACACAGAATAAATGCATCTCTTCATTGAGGCAAATACAGGAAAAATACATAAGGTGAAACTGAATGGCAGAAAGTCACAAAATGTACCTGAATTCATCCCATGTGTTTGTTGTTAATGTAGATGTTGTGGACAAAACTGATGTTTTTCTCATCCTTTTCAGGAACAAGGCAAAATTGGAGTCACATTCAACATCGGAACGTCTGACATTACTGTTCAGGAGAGCAGCACCACTGTAAATGACGGCAAGTACCATGTAGTGCGCTTCACCCGAAATGGGGGCAATGCTACCCTTCAGGTGGACAACTGGGCCATCAATGAGCACTTCCCCTCAGGTAAGACCTCTCACCGACCGCTTCAACCTTTGGCTTATGACATCAAGAAGATGTATGGACAACGCACAGAACTGGACAGCAACTGCTTTCGAGCTATTTCTAAAGTCACTTTGTCTCCCCAGTGACTGTGCAGTGTACTTTCATTTAGCATCATGTGAGCCTCAGTCACAACAATACCAACAAACAGTACATTTGTAGCCTCTCCTATTTTCCTAAATTACATTTAATTGTCAATTAGATGTTGTTGTTTTATTCTTCCGTGGCTGGAAAATAATGGCATTATTTTTTGCTGCACTGCTGTGTGGGTTTCTGTGGAAAGCATTGGACATGGTGTGGAAGTAGCTGACAAGTTTACTTTTTAATTTTATTTATCCTTTTTATTTTTTTTTCATATATATATTTTAATTAGTAATTCATTCCTGTGATGGCAAAGCTGAATCTTCAGCATCATTACTCCAGTCTTCAGTGTCACATGATCCTTCAGAAATCATTCTAATATGCCGATTTATAATTATTATTATAATTTTGTTGAAACTGTGATTCAGGATTTTTAAATGAGTTGAAAGTATGAAAAAACGGAAAGTATTTGAAATAGAAATAGAAATTTTGTAAAAAAAAATATATATATATATATATATATATATACATATATAAATGTCTTAAAGGTCACTTTGGATCATTTTAATGCATCCTTGATGAATAAAATATTAATTTATTCGCAATGACCCCAAGGTTCTGAACGGTAGTATACAGTAGGTTTTTCACAAATCTAGTATTATATTATTTTTTGCTGTTATTTTTTTATTGCTTCTAAGAAATTAGTTAAAGTGTATAAAGGAAAATCATGTACCAGCAACGTCCCTTGAATGCAAGTTAGTTCACTCTGCAGCCATCTTAATAACGCCTCTGCTATTTCCTAGGCATGCAAGCACAGCTCTTATCTAATGAAAAGGGAAAGACTGCAATTTCCAAACATTATATTTCAGCATGTCACATCAGCTGTGTATATCTCTTCCATCTACACTAGCGTTCAAACGATTGGGATCATCAAGATTTAGATTTTTTTTTAAAGCATTTAATACTTTTATTAAGCAAGGATGCATTAAATCGGTCAAAAGTGACAGTAAAGACATTTATAATGTTACAAAAGAGTACTGATTTTAAAAAAATGCTGTTCTTTTGAACTTTCTATTCTTCAAAGAATCCTAAAAAGAATATATCAGTTTCCATGAAAATGTTAAGTAGCACAACTGTTTTCAACATTGATAATAATAAGAAATGTTTCTTGAGCAGCAAATCAGCATATTAGAATGATTTCTGAAGGATTATGTGACACTGAAGACTGGAGCAATGGCTGCTGAAAATTCAGTTTTACCATCACAGGAATAAATTACATTTTAAAATCGATTAAAATAGAAAATAGTTACTTTTTCATAGTATTACCGATTTAAATGGAGCCAACCCAAACTTTTGAACAGTAGTGTAAATGTGAGTTTATGCAGCATCACACTTTACAGCCCCATCCACAGTAAAAGCTAATATTAATAAATGAATATTAAATATTAAATACCTTCTAAATGGCTGTGATTTTGCTGCATGTCACTGTTTTTTCAAGTTCAACTTGATGCCATAATTTAACGACACCAAACCTGGTTCCTTCCCCTCAGGTGTGATCTTTCCATTTTATCATTTTCTTACCATATCTAGTATTACATCTCTTCTCAGTTAAAAGCCAGAGCAAAGGGGGGAAATCATGACACAGCCAGTTCCTCTAAGTTCATATTTTACTCCATTTAGCATGATTGGATAAATTGGAGAAGGTCGAGAAGTCTGGAACCTCTAAGGTTGTCATGACTTTATATATAAAAATCAAGATTAGTACAAAATCATTTAAAGGGAAGTCGTCACAGTGATTTACTTGGATAGCATTAGAGTAATGCGCTATCAGTTGGATCTTTTCTATAATGCAGGTACATGGAGTACAGTTCATTTCGTGAGAGTATTAAGGAGAGATTATACAACGCAAACTTCCTCCACTTGTCTCCTCAGCTGGGTCACACACAAGAGACACGCTTTGTTGAGCATTATCCTTACCGAGCAAACATTCTCATCAAAATTATAAGAAATTCTAAACAATGCATACTTTCGTAATAAGAGTACTTTGTCTTGTTCATTACACCAGCGTGTCCATTTTTTCTGTTTGAGCATCTAAGGGCATCAGTTTGTGTTCCTGTCGGCGCTGAATAAACCCATTTTATGTGGCCAACTCTACTAATGCACCCATTTATCAGTCTGCCATTTATATGAATTATATTAGGCATGACAAATATATGCAGTAGCGTGTCGCCGTGCTGTTCATATGGATGCATTATACAGAAGTCAGCGCCTGCCTGTTTTAGGTCTAAAGTTTCATTTTTGCCAACATGGGCATTTGCAGCAGACTCACATAAGAGCTGGGGAAATATATCACTGAGATTTATAGGTGGCATGGTGGTATAACACTTCTATATAAATGTCAGCAAAATGTACTTTCTCTGCCAAAGTTTCAACCTGATAATAAAATATTTATATATTCAGATGGCCACCTGCAAATAGAATATGATTATGCTTGAAGACAGATGTCCCCTCATGGCAGGCTGCTCTTTGCTTTGGCACTGATTTCCTTGTAATGTTTGATTTCTCAATTCAATCTTGTCAGGACGCTGATGAAGAAATATATTTGGTCTCTTTGATGGAGCTGCAGTTCTCAAGTGATATTGTGAGTTTTTGGTGCGCTGCCATGCTATCCTTTATTTAATTTACAGGCTAAATGAAGCAGGTTCTTGAAGACCCATGGAGAGTGCTGAACCACGCTCAACATCTGTGCTTTATTTTCTTAATGCGTCAAAGAACTAATGCCTAATAGTTTTGCCACATCGGTTCCAGAGCTGTGCTTTTGCCAAGTTATTACACCATACCTTGCTGCGCTAAGCACATACAAATAGCAAGGGCAAGTTAGCTCGTTGCGTCTTTGCCTATTTATCTCCCACGGGTCCCTAGAGGTCAAGCAGAGATGTCTACAGGGCCACAAGCGCGGTCACCTAAAGCTTATGACTGTCATTACAACGTAACCCGAGGCCATGTGCAGAATACTCAGAGAACTTTGCTTTGAGAATAAATTGTGCTGCGCTTGTCCATTCACTTTACTCGAAATACCGAGCCAAGTGCCGCCACATGTCCTTATACAATTCGCACACCCTCCAGTAATGGCTAACAAATATGAGTAAGCATAAGACTCGTCAGTTGTAGGCATTGTAGGTTGCTTTTTTTTTTGCTGGATTTGCTTGGATTTTTCCAGAAAATGCTGAAGGGAAATTCAACAGTGTCTATTATTTAGGCTGTAGCTGGCAATCTGGAGTTGAAAATCAGCACAATCTTCTCTCGTTCCCACCATATAATGGACTTAAGGAGTGGAAATATAGTTTTCTAACTCACTGCAAGAGCCAGATAAGCAACTTCTTTTCAAGGAACTGTATACCTTGGACTAACAACTGCAAGCTATAAAACGTTATATTTAGAAAACCACAGATACTAAGTCTTGTGAAGAATTATCTCACGTTGTCACTGATATGCTAACCGTATTCAGACACAAAGAGTATCGAATAGTGTTGCACAAGATCTATTATAACCCTTTACAACAGGTGTTTAGAATGATTCTGATTAAAATACAGCTGTTTAATTCAGTTGAAGATAGTGATTTTTAACAACTCCCACCAGGTTTCAGTGCTGGCAGCATGTCACCTCACTGATGCCATGGGATCACGCTTACATGTGAAATATAATAGATTTAATGACTTTTTGCATTTAGCGGGCATTTTAAAGGGTAATAAATAGAAGGAGGATTAATTCCTCTGCCGAATCCTATCCTTCACAGAGTGAACTTCTCAAGAAGCTCAGGTGATATCCAAAGAGATTTGTAGTTTAGTCCTTTGATTCCAACTCTGCTAGTCAGCCTCAGGTAAGATGAGGTCTTAAGCCTGACTGTACTGCTGTCGTTTTCATATTTGTATTTTAGCCTATATATTAGAGGCAACCACAACACTTATCATCCAATATTGGGGATGTTTAAATTTAGCAGTATTGGTTGATATTGGTATTTAAATATTCATACCTATTTCTGTTTTTTAGATCTACATTACCTTTTTAATTTATTATAACATAATTTTATATGCTGATATTGTATTAATACCTGTTTATTATTTTATTAATTTTAATCTTTTTATTTACACATTTGTAAATATTTTACAAATATTTTAGGTATTTTACATATATTTTTTCTATTTTTTACACTATATTACCTTTGCTATCATCTGAAACTCACTCAATTTTTAAAAATACTAATAATTTAATAGTCCTTAATAATTCAAGTATTTAAAAACTACATTAGATTTAATACATCATAGTGTTGATATGCCTAGATTATTTTGAAGTATCTACAGTTATATTTGTTTTTAGTTTGTATTTAATGCTATTTCTTTATTTAGTTAGTTATAAAAGTATACAATTTTAATACTGGCACCACATTTTTTCGTTAAACCAAAATAGAAAATAAAATAACCTGCATGGTAGAGGCGAGGGAAACTGAAAAATCGTCTTTTCCTTACCAAAATAGAGCAAAAGCAAATTTAATCTTTATCACTCTGGCTGCAGCCCTAAACTGTCCCACACACCCCTGCAGTTTGGCAGGAAATGTCAGAGTGTGTCAATCAGATGGCAGCTTGATGCTATGTTCAAGAGACAAGCGTATTCGTGGGACAGGGGTTACGACAAGGAACACGGAGGGGATGCTATATCATTTTTGACACACGTGTGTGCAATATGATGGTTTGACGGTGTGTGTCCGTGTCTGCATCTTTATGTGTGTGTGTGTGTTGAGAAGAAGATGACTTCTTTCTTTATGGCTGTGCAGAGGCTTTTTGATGTCCCTGTGGCTGCTTTGGCAGTTCCAGGACCCAGGCTGG